TCCTTCCCAGTGCTGAGCATCCTTCATGGTACCGAGCATCCTTCCTGCCACCAAGCATCCTTCCTGGCACCAAGTATCCTTCCTGGTCATGAACATCCTTCCTAGCACTGAGCTTCCTTCCCAGTGCTGAGCATCCTTCCTGGTACCGAGCATCCTTCACAGTGCTGAGCATCCTTCATGGTACCAAGAATCCTTCCTGGTCATGAACATCCTTCTGGTACCAAGCATTCTTCCCGGTGCTGAGCATCATTCCCAGTGCTGAGCATCCTTCCTGGTACCGAGCATCCTTCCCAGTGCTGCGCATCGTTCCCATTATCAAGCATCCTTCCAGGCAGTGAGCATCCTTCCTGGTCATGAACATCCTTCCTGGTACCAAGCATCCTTCTGGGTACCAAACATCCTTCCCAGTGCTGAGCATCCTTCCTGGTGCTGAGCATCCTTCCCGGTGCCGTTTTGATCTCACAACTGCTTTAACCGAGCCGACGCCGACTGCCGGAGACCCGCCCCCCTGCCACTCCGGTGCCGTCACCGAGCTCCTCGGGTGCCTGACAGCTGAGCAGCCCAGACAGGTCTATTATTTCTACGGGGCCCGGCCCCTGCGGGCCTGCAATTTAGGTCTGCGCTATTAACCCTGCCTTGTTCTCCACTTTGTAACTGCTTTAGTGCCTTTAAAAGTGTACAGTTAAAATCAGGGTTAATTAGGGGCCCGGCAGCTGGGCTGCGCCGGCGCCCATTGTGTCCCAGCAGAGCCGGGGCCGGGGGTAATTGGAGACTGTTGTGGGTTTGTGCCAGCAGCCTCCTGCACGGCACAGGTCCTGGATCATCGGCCCCCGGCTGGCCTTGGTGCCTCCTGCTGTAAGGATGGCTGTGGTTAGCTTCCCTCCCCTCCTTGCACCCCGTCTTTCCTTCTTCCCCAGCCCTTGCGGGCTGTGGCTGCAGCCAGGCTCAGTGTGGAGGACCTGGGGGATGCCGGGGATGCCAGGGATCCTGGGGATACCAGGGATGCTGGAGATGTGGAGGATGCTGGGGATACCAGGGATCCTGGGGATACCAGGGATGCTGGGGATCCTGGGGATACCAGGTATCCTGGGGATACCAGGGATGCTGGAGATGCCAGGGATGCTGGGGATCCTGGGGATGCTGGGGATCCTGGGGATACCAGGGATGCTGGAGATACCAGGGATGCTGGGGATACCAGGGATCCTGGGGTACCAGGGATGCTGGGGACACGGGGGATGCCGGGGATACGGGGGATGCCAGGGATGCTGAGGGTACCAGGGATGCTGGGGATATGGGGGATGCTGGGGATACAGGGGATACCAGGGATGCTGGGGGTACAGGGGATGCTGGGGATGCTGGGGATACCAGGGATGCTGGGGTACCAGGGATGCTGGGGATACAGGGGATACCAGGGATCCTGGGGATGCCAGGGATGCTGGGGATGCCAGGGATGCTGGGGGTACCAGGGATACAGGGATGCCAGGGATGCTGGGGATGCGGAGGATGCTGGGGATACCAGGGATGCTGGGGGTACGGGGGATGCTGGGGATGCTGGGGATGCCAGCAGCGGGTGTGCGTGCCAGGGGAGGCTTTTGGGGGGTTTCCCAGGGCACCCCCATGCCCGTCAGACACTTTGCACAGACTGGGCTGTGCCGGGCATGGCGGGACTGGAGGCCCCTGACCCATAAACTGAGATTTGTTCCGGATCGTGGCACCGGTGGGGTCCGGGATTTACATCTGTGGCTCGAGCTGGGTTCGGTGGCCAATTTGCTAAAGTAAAAAGTTGTTTAGCTGGAGGCCTAATCTTATGCCATTATAATGGCTTCTCGTTTCTGCCTGGCTTTCCAATAATGCTTGGAGCAGAAGCTCGGAGTAATATAAAAAGCCATCGGATTGTTACTGCGGGCGATGCATTTTCCATTTACAGTAATAAAATACTGAAGAAACAAAACAATTTAAAATTCCAATAAAATTCAAAACAAATCTTTTGCTGCTTAGCAGATTCAATTATTTAGCTGTTATTGAGTGCAGGCTGGAAAAATGGAGAAGGTCAGGGAGGGAGGGGGAGCCTGGAGCCGGGGCTGTGCCGGCCAAATTCCGTGGGAACG